CCCACCAAGTGTATAACATTAAAAAGCATTTGAAAGAAGGTCAAGTTGTATGGCCGCCGATGAAGACCGAAGTGCAAAACCGGCAACTAAAGCCTGATTTGGCGTGGCACGTGATTTTTAACTTCTCGACGTATTCTCCTATAGTGATGCGATTACAAGTTTTGACTTACTACAAAAGTAAGGGTAATATTCCTCGACTACTTTGTAACCCCTCCATGCACACGCGCTCCAGCCCTCGTATTCCATTCTACTCTTTAAAGAGAGGACCATGACATTTAAATTGGTTTTGTCAAGCAAACATACATTTGTTGAGTCGTTTATCCCTTGCACTGCAAAATCCACAAAAATCTCACTTCTTCCTTTTGCAAAGCGGGTCAAAGGCACTGAAACACTTGGAACTGTGTAACCTAAAATGAAATTGTTTGTAACAGTCAAAGACTCGATACTCTGTGGTACCTTCTTTTGGGGTAGGAAATTTGAAGTCTGGAACGAAGAGGACTGTATACGCTTGATCAGGTTCAGTTCTGCTTTTCACCATAAGCTTCCAATGATCACGCACCTCATTCACGGTGAGAGCAACGTCGCCTTGTGAACCAAAGAAAACCAACTTAGTGAATAAAAAATATCGTCTCACCGTTTCGGTTGGTGCATGGTGAACCAATTGTTTGTCCAGTCAGTATGCAGCGCCCATCGATGACTTCCACATTCCCGATAAACTTTCCAAAGTGATCATAAGCCTCGATGTCCTACAAGAAGGTATAAAAGTTGACTTTTTGTATATCACGCAATTGCTATATCGTAAGTCAAGTGAAATAGTTATAAGTCGAGGTATTTGTGTACCGCAACTCCGTCCATCCGAAAGACCATCAGTCCCGAACTCCCAGACTTTTTGCCTATCACGCGCGACCCCCATTCGTTTGACTTGGCTAGCCATCAAGAAGGAAAGAAATTGACGCATTGTCAACTTTCAATGAATAGGTAACAAATTTTGTTGGAATTTGAGAGTGGCACATCTTCATTTATTTCCCCAAAAGTTCACCTTACTTCCACAAATGTGTCAATTTAATGGGACTTTCATTTAGCACGACTTACCCAGAATGAGAGTGAACAAGAGCTGAAATATGGCTTGGACAAGCATGACACTTCGTCGTACAGAGCAGTGTGATGCGGATTGCATAAATTCTAAACCACCAACAAGACGCGATTGGTGAGTTTACGGTGCAAACGTGTGCTCAAAGTAGGTCGGAAAAGTGCTTTTAGGTGAATGGGTGGCCTCGTGGAAGATGATAGCGCGAAGTGAACGAATGTTGCTCCAGAACTTCATAGGAAGTTATGAGTAGTGTAGAAAGCATTTAAAGGGTCCAGATTAGAAACAGATGTTTTACCTTAAACACATAGTGAATAACTTCATGTACAAATGTTCTTATAATGGCACTCTCAAATGAGCAAAACAGGGGATAAAAGTAAGGGACAAGCATCAATTTAGCCAGGAGTTCTTGACACCACGTCATGAGCTTAGATTGCATTGTAGCCATGTTCTCTTTAAACCAATTGTTATTAGAGAATGGGGAGAACTTTTACTCATAAAGAATGCAGCAAGACGGCACAACTCCACAGATAGTGCCTTAAGCTGGTAGTCCCAAGTGCTGGATTTAGAAGCGATCTGCATCACTGCGCTCTTGACTGTCATCCAAAGCTTTGCAGCCAGCATCACCTCTGCGCATTTTGGGAAGTTCAGAGGCTTAAATAAAGCTCTGAGAGGAGCTTGACCCCATTGATACGCGCTGTCGATTTCAGTGGTTTTGTTTGCAATGGGTAGAGGAGGGCTTAGTGGTCCGTTCGCGTCATTTCACTGGACGATGTGGGCTCTGGAACTGTGCGAGAAGCTCACAGCAGTTTGTAAATGTAATTTTGTTAAAGATTATTCCCGATCTTCATTACTGACTGCTGTCGTGTTACGCCTGTAGGACTCAGATTTGCTAGCAGCAATCGTCAACTGCTTCAGCTCCATTTCATCCCTCAATTCCTTCCTTTTTATTTCCGTCATTGTTGCTAAATCACTGTTATCTCGTACTCTCAGAGGTATTACTATGGCAGCTTTGTGAAATTGGCTGCAAACATGGCTGTAAAGCATTTCATCTTGCTTGGGAGGCGCACCAGGTGGAGGGGGAGAAGTAATGACTGACAACTACATGTGTCCATTGCTGATTTAAATTATTGTCGTGAAAAAAGTCTGATGCATGACTTTCTTCCGCTTTTTTAAAATCAAACTGAGGCCTGGTCATATCGTACATAGGTTACAATGAGCAGGTGCACAGGTGGCAAAGATGACGCGTAATCACCCAATTGAGTTCTTTCGCGGGCAGCGTCCTCT